CCTAAAAAAAAAAAAAACACACTGTTATCTTCCAATTTTGCAGATAATCGTTTGAGATTTTGTCTCACTTTTACGGATCAAATGCTTTCAGACAGTAAATTGTAAGAAAATACAAGCTTCAAGTGTGTTTTGTTTTGTTCTTTTTTATTTTTTATTTTTTCTTGTAATTATAAGAGATGCACAAATCCATGCGCGTGCGGCTTAACCATTAGATGGGTCAACCCGTCGTATTTTTTAACAAGAATTCGTACTTATGCAATGAAATATCATACTTTTATTTACTTATGTTGGTTTTCAATGGTATATTAATTAATGGATGAAAGTAACTTGGATCAAATAATAGAAAATGGTAAGAGAGTTGATACAATACCTATAGAGGTGGCAGCAGTGCTCCTCTGGCATCTGGAAAAAGGGGAGAAAAAAAAAGGGTAAAAAATGAGAAAAATAAAATAAAATAGACATGCTGGCAAAAGTGCAAAACCATAAGTGTAAGATAGGGGCAATAAAAAGCATGAAATCTTACACATATGAAAGTGAATGGATCAGATTCTGCAGTTCATCAGGTGAGAAACCAATTTCATCGACCAAGACATTATAATGGGTGGGTCGAGAAGTCCCCTGTCATCCGAAATTTTACATTAACGAAGAATTTGGTGAACAGTGAGCTTGTTAAGGTACTTTACGAGGAAAAATGTCTCCATTTTAGTTCGTAAGAGAATATATTAATGAATATCACGTAATATAAAACCGATGTCGGTGCAAGGAAATCGACAAAGAATACATGCTTATTGGTAGTGCAACCGAATTGGACATGAGGAGCATAATAAATAACGCATCACATAATGGAATCAATCATATGAATAAACTAATTAGGTAATGACTAAATAAGACTTACAATCATCCCTGCGTGAGTACACATATAGAAATCATAATTTTTAGGATGAACAACTTTTGTATCCACAACGGTACCTGCGAGAGACAGAGAGAGAGAGATAGAGAGATAGAGAGAGAGAGATATTATCATTTGTTTTTGTCTTCTTTTGCATAAACAAGAGTTAGAGTGTATCAATCACGAGAGGCACACCAGATGGGACGTTTTCTGAAGCTGAAGCTTGGAATAGCCTGGTATGATGATTCTTCTGGGTTATTATCACAGTGAATTTCGGAATGTCCGACTCACCAAGGTATTGATAGGCCTGGGATAGTAAACTTCAGCAGTCTTATAGTACAGCAGGCTCATTTGCTCAAAGATAGATCAATTTCAATGTCATTATAATACAACCACAACAGGAATGAATAACAGTAGAACTTTCTTCCACATAATGCCTCAAAGAAAATAAACTCAAAGTGGTGGCCTAAAGCTCAAAATGCTGTCTGAAGACTAGGAAGTGGAAAGCTACCTTGATGATTTGCTCGAGCTCGATGTCCAAAACCTGACCAAACTGTGACTCACTCACGCCATCCCTGAGAGAAAGTATACGGCCATCAATGATCAGACATCATAAATTTTGTTTCTTTTATATTATGTCCCTTAAAGAAATGGAAGATTCGTTACTCCCCTATTTTTGAATAAAATCGAACTATAGTTAGTCACAACAGTTCAACTTGGACAATGATTGACCAGATCTCAGCACAGATAAACTACGAGACATATAAACCCCAACTAGATAAATGTACCCCTTAAAATGAAGAATTTTAAAAGTTGATTTTGAACGTGTAAAAAACAGGCAAAGAACAAAAAACACCACATATCTCAGAATAAATAATTTGAATTGGAAGCTAGATCACCTGAAAATAATAATTTGGGTTGGTTTACATCCGTTACTGGTCTTATAAAAATCCAGAAGCAGTTCCCTGAAGCATAACAGCCGGCACTTCCTCAGCATTAATGGAACTAGTAATTTTTCACACAAAACCATAAAAGTGAACTGCAAATTGAAATGTATATTCACGGTGAAGCACCTCATAATTCCATCATCATCTCCATCCTCCAGCGGCTTGAACAAAGACTCTATCATCTTCACATTCGAGGATTGAGTTCTTACAGATGCTCTGTACCTAGATATATATGGCCAACTTCGAGAAGCTACAACCTAACAGTAAAAATATATCAATAAAACATCCTAAGAATTAAGCATGAATTAAAATATTTCTGGTAATACTGAAGAAAGTTCTACAAGCAGCAGACATACAGCAGCAATTGATGGAATATCATATCTACCAGGGAAATAGTGAGAGACATTCATTCCCAAGATCATGGTCGGCTTATCCATAACGAGTGGAATTCCATGTGGATGCTCTATTGCTAGCAATGAGTTGGTTCCCCCTAGCTATAAAACGAAAATGAGAAAAAATAGTTACAAAAGTTTGTGAGCGAAATTTAATCTTCTGAAGTTTTAACCCAAGGTACCTTGGTATTGATTTTGAGTAGCACATTTGTTAGGTACTGGTCGTTGATCTTGGAAGGAGAAATGCATTGGTTGGGAATGCCCAAGCTAGTCAGGCACTTTTTCTTCCAGGGACCTACATGGTCAACCATATTCAGTAATCAACAGTATAGGGCAAATGGTTACTTGGTTAAAAGGGTTCCAAAAGGTGGATAGCAAACTTTACTACCATAAATATCAGAATTTTTCCGCTCTGGCAGAACACAGAGCAGAAACTCAGGAGGGCCGGGTAGTTTGGCTATGATCTGCTCAAACATTTGTTCAACGCGTATCACGGGGCTTGATTTTCGACACTGGTGATCCTCCTCGAATATTGTATACGGACGCTCAATATGCTGCATATAGAAAATAATATACATTAAGTATGCATATGTAAAGAAAATATAAGGAGAATGTAATTCACCGTACAATGCCCTTGTTCCTCCCACAGTTGATGAGTTCCCGTGAAAGATGGCTGGTGTCACAACGTGCAGAGAAATTGACGAGCGCCCAATGATTTATCTGGATAGGGTTCAGAAGTTTCTGCAGAAAGATCAAAAGCAGACCATGGATTGTGAATAGCAGAAAAAAGAAAGAGGAAAGTAAAAAATTTTATCATTGTACTTTCAGGAAACAATATATATCCACTCAATTTTTCTTGTCTATGAACCACATTAACATATTAACATTGACTGAATGCACAAAGGATACCTTATTATTGAAGTTCCACCTGCCATTTCGTGGTACACAATCTTCGCTATTGCCAACCTTCAACTTCAAGGTGAAAGAGGTTTCAGTCATTGTTTATGCATAAGATGCACCACATCTGTCGATCATTTAAGAGAAATTAACTACCTTCGGTGGTTCCAAAACCCGTGCATCTATTTCAGTAAGCTGCTTTTCAATTGATACACCACAAGTGTCAAGTAGTGGATCCTCGTCACAACAGTACTTTCTAACAGCCTGAGAAGATTTAAGTTAGAAGTGAAATCCCCATGCAACAAAAGACAAAAAGAAATAAATAGAGGCATAGTTATGAAAACTTTACATCAGTTACAACTCTAATTCTCTCAGGTGGCTTCTGCCTCGATTTCTCAAATAAAGAGGCTCTTTGCAATCCTGATAATGATTTACTGTATCTCTGAAGAGAAACTAGAGAACAGAGCTGGATTTCCGCCAAGAAAGTAGAACTGGATTTTTTAGAATCAGATGAATTGTATTTCATATAATAAAACACAAGAAATATTTTACCTCCAGTGGCAGGTAGCTTGGTCGTTTAGGTTTCCCAACATCAAGACATGGCATGTATGCTGAAAGTTTAGGCTCTATGTTATAGTGCTTAACAAAATAGTCATACACGGAAATCTCCAGGGTCTCGTCATTGTCTCCGGCAGCACTATCACTTTTCACTTTCATCGAAAAACTGAAATATCAATATAAACATCAGAATTCGTCGGAAGTTAGAACTCAGGAAAAAGGGCAACC